TATTTACTTTACTAAAATCTATTTTTTTCTAGAGTACTATTCTTTATACTTATAAATTCTACCTTGTAATTCTAGAGTTAGGTATACTAAACAATATATCTTATAGAGTGTAATGCCTTTTATAGAAATAGAAAGGGCTTATAAAGTTATTAAACAGATAGTAAACGCGTAGAGAGTGTAGTAGAGTGCGCTTAGAACTTAGGCCTATGTAGAGGCAGGTAGTCCGGAACCGGTTTTCTTTGCGAAGCACCACGACCTGAAGCAAAACATTTCTTGACTATTTACCGCGAGGTTGTGCATATCTAAGCAACTCGGTATCCTTCATCAATCGATCGTGGCATCCTTCTTCTAAGCACACGCAAACCTCGATACCTTCGTCAATGGCATTCTCTTTGACATCCGCTCTGCTCGGATACACAAAAACATAGCCTTCAAACTGAGGATCCGGAAAACGAATAGCCTTAGCGAGACCGAAGCCGAAGTCATGTTTCTGGTATACGTTCATGCCTTGCCAACTCGTACCCGCCAAGTCCATACCCAGGAACGAACTCATGTTGATATTGATCCACCGCCTATCGCCCAGTCCTGCGATCCATTCAGGCAGCTCAGCAACGTACTGTGGAGTGATAGTCTTGATCGACTTTCGCACTCTTTGCGCGATCTCTGGGAGATTATCTTCACCAAGGAGTTCGGATATCCTAATCGGCTCCGTGCGGGGAAGCGCAACGGCATTGCCCATCATTCTCTCTGGCAAGGGCGGGTCCAACACCTTTCGTGTATTGACTGCGTGTACTAGTATGACCTCCTTGCCAAGGTCAGGGTGGAGAAGCTCAAGCTTGGATCTCGTGATACTCTTCCAGAGAATCGACATGATCGCGTCGTAAGTCGAGATCCAACTTTCTCCTGTCTGTCTCATCGCCCGAGATTTGAGTTCCTCCGTCTTACTCTTGGGGAAATGCCACATTCGAATGGCCAATTCGGGCATCTTGAAGTCGGCTGGTGGAGGAGCTGGCCCGCCGCCATCCTTGAGCACTGGAAACTTCTGGTCAAGTTCTTTCCATCGCCCGGCGTCCGGCTTCTTTGCACTGAGACGCGATCGGTCCATCGTTCCTTCGGGTACCGCTTCAAAGGAAGTCCCACTGACCACCGCTGCGGAATTCTGCGCCCAAGTAGTGAGGAAGCCATCACATCCCGGGCCGTCGGAACAGTTATGGTGGATAGCGACCCCGAGGACAAGACCGCCTTTGATGAAATTGATTTGAAACGTCGATATGATAAGGTCGTCCTCCTGGTTGTCCCCAAGAGGCGAGAACAGTTGTTTCTCTGTCACGGCCTTGGGCAACAACATGTGTCCTTTGAGAGTTGCGGCGGGGAAATCGGTCCTATCCAGCTCTTCAAACGACGGGAATGTTTCTTCCAAGTCCTGCACGAACAGACTGACTGCACTATCCTTCCTCTTCGTCACCCACAAACGACCATTGTCCGCATCCATCTTCAAGCCGCCAGCGAGGATGGGATACTGGCTCAATGTAAACTCGAGACCCTTTGCCATGCTGTCCACGACCTTGGCCTTGTCGAAAAGTGCTGCGAGCTTGAAGACTTCCACTATCTGGACATAGATCTTTGGCATTGTGTGATCCATATCAGAGAGAGCAAATTGCTCCTCTGCAGGAGCGCTCTCCCAGCCCGCTGGGCGAATTCGAATCTCTTTCGTGGACATGGTAGTTTGCCGAAACAAAACTGGACTCAAGCCGAACAGCTGCAGACAAGGCAACGAACAAGAGGCAAGGGGTTCTTGCTTAAAAGCTCGACCTTCAAGAGCGAAGAATTTTATTAGGGAATCACGGTACGTCCCAAAACCCCGACACCGCATGCCCTGCAATGTGGACGACACCAATTATGCATCCTCTACAAGGTATTACCTCGGGGCGCGTTTCTACATTCGGCAAAGTATCATTACTGACTCGTTCGGCTTGCTCTCACGTCCAATAGGAAACACGTGCTGAAACTAGATGGGGCACGGCAACGGCTGCGGGACAAGCTTGCTTGAACGCAAGCCTCATCGCGTGCACGACGTTCTCACGATTGTAGAACTGAGGTTTCTCAAAATCCCCGCGAAGCACTCGAATATTACACAAACGTCACATCCAGCAACTCCGGCCAATTGCACCTTCTCCGTCCCCAGCAGCCGCAGCCGACTGTACGAAGATTCCACTGCCCCAATTAATCCCAGCCAGCCCGCAAATCTACTGCAAAGCCAGGCTCGGAGAGTTCCATCGAGCATTAGTACGGGGCTACGCCGCATCCCCACATACGTCGCACGGCCTGACATGCGCCGCCTGCTTCTGCTACGCCGCACAGTAGTGCCCGATGGGATTCTGCGAGCAGGATTGAATGTCGCTATTGTCGGTTTCGGTTGTTGGCAGCTCCTGCCTCATTCCTCTCCTAGTAAATTATCGCGAAAATCGACGGCACACGTCCGGCTTGACATCCAGGAACGGGCCTTTATGCCAACCACGCCGCATTACTGTGGGCATGTAAAATTGAGATGGTTCCTAGGGTTGCATAGCGCCACGAGTTTCATATCCTGCGCCGTATCGTATGAGATACTCGTTCCTCGTTTTCAGTCTCTCGACTCGTCGCAGTGGAACTTACTTTTGAGGAAGAACTCAGTTATCCGTTGAATACTCTTGCGTCTTTTCCGGCTGCCAATCATGGATGTTATCAAGAGAGCCGGAGATAATGTCAATTTGGTAGTATATGATAATATCCAGCCCATCGTTTGGACCGTTACCATTCCATTCTTTGTGGTATGCCTCGCATCATCTACTATCCGACTCTACACCCGAGCTTTCATTCGGGTTCCTTTTGGCAAAGATGATTGGTTTATGCTGGTTGCAACGGTGAGTTCTGCGCATGCTCTGGCTGCAAGATGGACCTCTACTAACTCAGCGCTAGATCTTGTTCATCGGTCAACAATACATCGCCTGGATGTGGACTATACTAGGCGGTGGGCTGTAGGTTTGACTCTATCAGTTTGAGAGATGCGATTTTCAATTGTTTCAAGGCACGTTACCGACCCTCGCGTCAAGACGGAAAACCTTAAGAAAATCAGCGTCGTACGTTACAACCAGTTCAGTTGCAATACGAACTTCTTCCTCGATCATTCGTGCTAACTGCCGACACAGTATCTCTTTGCAGAAGAGTTCTACTATCTACTCCTACAGTTTTTCATCAAGATGTCCTTTCTCTTCTTCTACCGCCGTACACTGGAGGTCAACCCTGGTTTCAGACTCGCGGTAATCATCACGGTGGTCCTTGTGTGCCTACAGACTGGCGGTACATGGATCTTCTACGGCCTACAATGCATTCCCATCCAGGCCTACTTTCAACCCGAACTCTACCCAAATGCCGTTTGCATCTCTTCTGGTCTATCATACTACCTGCCCTCCGTTGTCGTAAGTTCCTTGCATTCTGTCGAGCTACCCACTACTAATTATACGCAGAACGTCTTCATGGACGCAGTCATCTACCTTCTTCCTATCTACCCCCTGTGGAACGTGCAAACTCCAGTCCGCCGCCGAATCGGTTTAATCTGCATCTTTACCCTCGGAGGCTGCACGATCATGGTCTCACTTCTTCGCTTCATCGTCCTCTGGCAACTCGCGAACACAAAGGACACGTCTTATATCTTTGGTTCCGTCACTATCGTTACTTCGATCGAATTCGCAGTAGCGATTATCACCGCAAACATGCCTGGTATGTACGCCTTCTATCGGGCGAGAATATCGAAGAGGGATCAGAGTACCACGCAGGGATATCAATTTAGCGTTACCGCTCCAGGTTCAGGCCCAAAGGGCCGCTCTTTAGGCAATGCTAGTTGTGTAAGAAAGGGAACGAAACGGGTACGTACCCACGCTGTGGAAGGCGATGTAAGAACAGGAAGTCAGGATGAACTATATCCAATGAGCAATCTTAGCGAGGGCGAAGAGGAGCAGAACATCCGCGTTACTACGAAAGTTATAGTCGAAGAAGAGGATTGCACGAGATTGCCGAGAAAAAGTCTCAGAAGGGGGTCTCTAAGGCCGTGATTTCCAAGTGTCGCATCCCCGGTACGATATGTCAAGCCTGGGACGCGAGGTAGCGGGAGTCAGTATGGTTATATTTTATACCCAATCATGCGGAATTGCATTGATGCTTGCCAATTGGAGCCGACTTTGCTTCAGGGTTATAAACACACTTGCTATAGGGATAGTATCTTGGATCTAGCCTGTAGTACTGCGACTAAGTAAATGTAAATAAGCCAAGTTCGATCTGTTACTCAAAATTAGTCAGGTCGCACACCCGCGTCATCTCCCATCCATGATTATTATATGGCACCTCTGGTACAGGACCGAAAGCCTCGAATGGCACCGATCAAAAGCCTATAGCATTCTGCGTATTCGAGAATTCAAGGTCCTCATCGGTATCTGAATTACGCTTATTTGGGAGGGTTCGGGTGTAGAATCCCGGCTTTCCCGAACCGCGGCTCCAAAGGAACTCCTCTTGCTGCCTAAAGGTGCATGCTTGTGAGATGCTTGCAATTGTATCGCCTTCGTACTCTGTCGTTGCGATGAGCACGCGTATCTTCTCGGGCAGAGTCGGTGCGACTTTGTAAGCGCCTTCGAGCGTGCGCCAGGCGCGCATCAGCCTACGGGGATCCCATCCACACTGAACCAGATCCAGATAACGAGACACGGGGCGGGGGTCGACTGGTAAAATCGAATAAGAGGAGGTGCTTGACTACAACGGGTATCCTCGATTGAACCTCGATTGAACGAGTTCCGATTGAGATGATGGATTGGATACGAAACGAGAGAGAAGACTGCTGAGCGTTTGGCGCATCTTGGCGTGGAGAAGGTGAACAAGGCTTACACTCTCCAACCCCCTACCTCCACGCGACCGCCACGATACGGGCCTGGTTCGTGCCCAATTCAGTATAGTGCACGATTTCGGCCCTGAATCGCCCCCTTTCAGCCTTAGTCTGGAGTCGACCCCTTTTTGTGATCTATTCCAGTTTATAACAGTTATTGAAATGTATGGACCCCTCACTTATTGGGGCCGATAGAAGCTCCCAAATCGTCACCCACAGCGACTACTATGGGAGACTAGAGTCTTGGCGAGTGAATGTACGCTGTGGGTGACAACATGGGATAGTACAGCACGTCGTCAAGTTACTTATGGGTAACTTCTGGGGCTTGTTCGTCAGTGAGGTGTGTCCCACGGTACTTGTAGCCAATTTTCCTTCACCGGTACACTTCTGCTAGCGTAACCAGTGTCATAGTACGTGATGTGATGTAGTTGCCGGGACCTCCGGAGGTTATAGTGAAGGGGTACCCATCGCTCCATCGTCATCTCATACCTAATTCTTCACCACACCTCCAATAGTACGTACATCCCAGCTGTCAATTGACAACAACTTACTGACTTTTGACAGTGGTGACTTACAGTAAACGAGACCGACGCCAAACAGAGAAGGGGGTCTCATGGAGCCAATCATTGGCCAGAAGAGGCAGGAAGAACCGCGCTAGTAGCCGCACTAGCACCGGTCTCAGTGAAGGATGCTCAATGAGCACTCCTTCAGGGATCTCCCATCCCTCACAGTCTCAGCCCTATTCTCAGCCATCAATCCTTCACCAAAACAACAATACTTTCACCGCCATCAGCCCCAACGACTCCTCCAATGATGCACTGTTTGTGAGTGGAGGTTCCAGCGATGATCCCAGCCGAAGTATCTTTGATTCTGATGAGTTTGACGACGTTGGAGCGGGTGACGGTGAAGGAGATAGCTGGACTGAAGAGGAGGAAGAGGGCTTAGAGGAAGAGCAGATTTGTGAGCTGAGGGATGTGAATGAGGAGGTGGATGGGGTTGAGTTTCTGGCTTGTTGGAGGGTTTTCTGTGGCAAGGATAGAGTTGGAGCGATGGAAAATACTGAAGAAGATTCACGTGAGCTTGACCTACAGTGCCTGTTTGTATGGGTGAAGGAGCAGATCCAAGAACAGAGTCCAATCCCCTATTCTGTCAACTCCTTCACCGCCACTGTCTACTTCACTGGCCAAACAAAGGACACCCGATGGGTCCAAACGCTCCAAGAAGACCGTCCAGAATCCCTCCGTCGACTCCTTCACTGCCTCCGCCGAAAACGCGTCGAACAGCGAAGCCTCCGGTCCCACAAGGATCTCATGGTGGACTTTGATCTATGAATAGGCAAATGGGGGTAAGGGTTAGGAAAAAAGTTGTTGACTTTTTCGGCTGATATTGTAGACCAAGACTCCAGGAGTTCAAACATGCCCTTGCCTTGTTATGAGGTGCTTTGGTTGTAAAGTTATTGCTGTCGAAAGGTGCAATCTTGGTGATTGACAGCCTAATTGGGTATAGTTGGCCGCTAAGCACACTAGTCTCGATTAGTATTTTTGGTGAACTCCCAATAAAACCTGGTATTCTGTCAGCATTCTTGTCAGAAAATAGCATACAAGGTGTGCAATGCAGTGATTATGTGTACTTGATACATGCAGCAAGTTTTCTTTGTCTTATTCCACTGTGCACAGGGAATATTCTACATTCCATTGTTGCTGCCCAATTGGTATTTTTGGTGGAATCCACTAATCCCAATTAGTACTTTTGGTGAAATGATGAGCACACAGGTTAGGAAAGCCAGTCTGTACCATGCACGATACTTTACCTTTTGCAAAGGCCATCTTATATAGCGCAAGAAGATTGTGCAGTCTATCTGATTACTAGCTTCAGTTTTAAAGGAATGCTGCGCTTATACTGTTTCCTTCCCTGACATCTGGACATGCCCTACACAGTGACCCTTTCTGTCCTATCCAAGGGTCAAAAGGCCAAGGCTCACACTAGAGCCAATCAAATCCAAGAGAACCCCTTCCTAAGTTGCAAGTGGCTTATGTAGCTAAGCTGACCTTAGAGTAGATCTTCCCAAGTAGCATGTTGCTAATGCAATTGTAAAAGTAATCAATCTAATAATCAATTAATCAATGAATGAATCAGATTTATAATCAAGTAATCACTACATTAATTCATGCAGTGATTAAGAAAATAATGAGTCAATGCTTCCATATTTTTATCTAATATCTATTCAATCATGTATCTAACTGTTCTTTTGATACATCAATCTGTGTATTGAGGAAGAACATTTTTTAGACTTTGTTAGTCCCTAAAGAAGACCCAGAAGTATTATGTTATAATATTTGATAAAAGGAAGAAGAGAATATAAACAATTATAATTTCTACAAAAGCTGCAGATTCCATATATATTGGAGGTGTTGAGAGCCTACAGTTATGGTGCTGGCAGCACTGGAACTGCGCCAAAACAAAGCACACTAAGCCCAACTGAGCGCCTGCAGTTGCGGTGCTAACTACTAGTCAATATCTGTATAGACCCTATACGATTTTACCTGGCGCTAGCAGGACCCCTGCGCCTGACCCTTTACGATTTACAACTGCAACAATTGTAACGACGCAGGCCAGCAGGGAAGATATCTGGAATAAGTGTGAGTCCGCTACGAGGCATATGGGAGTGCTGGGACGTTGAGAACACTAGGATTGAATTCCCTACACCTATAGGTCTTGTACGAAAGGATACAGAAAAACTACTCTATCTAACAACTTTGTTGAACTGCTTAAGTATACCGTTAGGAGGACAATCGGACCCGGAGCGGTAGACTAGCTTATCGTGCATGCAGGTGCCAACAGGGGCTCAGATAGTACAGCAGCGCGATGCCTGCCGACATGTATGCAGATAAGGAACGACTCGGAACCGTACCGGTGGTCATTCGGTTGCGGTCGTTACACTACCCCCCTCCTTGTAGACAGATAGTCCCATATCTGTGGGCGGGTTTTCTTGCTTGTCGGGGCTGTTGAACAGGTACAGTTGAAGATTTTCTTGAGTTGGAGTGGAGTCGGGGTTGTATTGGGGTCGAGCAAGGCTTGCGTAGTTTCCCTTACTGTCAGTCATGTTGCCTTCACCTCGAGTGTCGTTGTTATTGTCGCCCATTTCCATCCCAACCTGCTAGTCCACCTGGCAACGCGTTGTGTGTATAGAAGTGAGCTTCCGTATCATGTTCTGTTCCTTAACAATCTCAACAACATCTACCGTGAGTGCGACTATGCGGGTCTGCAACTTCCATACTGACTTGTACAGTATTTAACAATCGGCAATGCCAATACCTACCACTCCCGGAGCACTTCCGGCGGCCCACAGGGTCGTTTGCCTTCGGTCGGTCCGGGCTATGGCCCGTGGCCAATTTGTCGATTTTGAGTTTGCTTCGGCGAGCTCTAAGAAGTGTGCATATTGCACACTACAGAACGAGAAGTGCAACCCGGTAAGCCTCCGATATCTATCCGAATTGGCCTCGCTGATTAAAATAATAGGTGCTCGCCTACGCCGGGGCCGAGTTTGCCGTATTTTGGGAGGCCCTCAGGGCTTACGAGCTTGCCCTGGGGAGCGACGAGGAGGGGGACTGAAAGGCCTCCGAGGCTGGGGTGCGTTCTGCCGCCTACGAGTTGGCGAGCTGTGTGCAGGTGGCGACTGCCCAGTTCAAGAACTTGTTGGCGGTCGACGTGCTGCTGGCCAGCCATTATCAAATGGCTGAGGAGAACCGGGCCCTGCACGGGCAGCTTTCGGAGATGGCGGAGGCCATGGTGGCGTTGGCGAAAGCTCAGGCGGAGCTGACGGCGAAGGTGGGGGGAATGGGGTCTGTGACCGCTCGGGGGGGCGGTAGGCGCACGGGTCGAGAGGGGGGTTGAGGTGGAAGGAGAAAGCGTGAACGAGGAGGGGAAAAGGAGGACGAGGAGATGGGTGGTACGGTGGAAGGCGGTTCCGATAGTGAGCTGTCTTCGGTCCACGAATTCTTGTCGGGTGACGAGGTGGAGTGAAGACGTTCACGGGAGGAACGGGTCTGAAGCAGGTCCAGATGTACATTAGTTGGTCTTTGTAAATTAATTGTGCCCCCCTACTCTGTCGTCTTCCAGACCTGCCATATCCTCTTGACCTTGTTCCCATGCTTGAATCCATTTATCCAAGGATCGAGGGGGTCCTGGACAATTCGGATGCCTTTCGTGAAAAGCCCTGAGCTTGTGTGGTGCTCCCATGAAGTTTGAGGCCTTGTACCATGTAGGATCAGGATCATGACCAACCCAGCTCACCCTATACTTCAGAGTCGAACAATAGAGCTTGCTGGCCAAGATCTCATCCACCTCCCATTCTTCGACACCTTGTATCGGGGTACCTATGGGTTTCGGAGCTTCTTGTCCAGGGAGCGGGTCTTGAGGATCTTTACACAATACGTTTGGGGCGAACACATCATGGATATGAGAACCTTTGGGTAACTTAAGGCGATAGGAGTGTCCAACTTGTTCTAGGACTTCGAATGGACCTTCCCACAGGTTGGATAGCTTTCGGCTTGGGCGTACATTTGCCAAGTTCTTGGTCGATAGGTATACCATATCGCCTACCTTCCAGTCCACTGGGCGTCGATGCCGATTGATTACGGATTTCATTCGGATCTGAGCCTTTTCCATGTTATCCTTGGCTAATTTCCACGCCTCATGCATACGGCTCGCAAGGGCCAGCGCGTCGCGATGGTTCAATTTGTCTGCTGCGGATTTTGCTGGAATGGGGCTCTTCCAGTCCCAGCTTTGTTTTGGTGCGGATCCGAAAAGGAGCTGATACGGAGCCATACCGATTGCTGAATGGGGTAACGAAATTTGAGCTCGGTCGATCATAGGCAGCAGGTTGCTCCAGTTGTCCTGATAGTAGGACACGAACGGCCTTAGCCTTTGATTGATATACTTGTTCATAATTTCCGTTTGACCATCAGTTTCCTTATGGTAGGCCGTAGAAAGCTTTACTTTGACACCTATGATCTGGCAGAATTCGGACCAGAATCAGGATACAAACTGTGGTCCTCAATCTGACACAATGGTTTCTGGAGTGTGTCCGAAGCGATATACCCATTGAACAAACAAGTTTGCTAATCCACGGGCCGTGATTGTCTTGTGGCATGGTATAGTGATAGCTTGCTTGGACAAACAATTAATGATAACCATAATCTGGTCGTAACCGTTATGAAGGGGCAAATGGGGGTCAGGGTTAGGAAAAAAGTTGTGGACATTTTCATCTAGTATTGTAGACCAAGGCTCCAGGAGTTCAGATCTGCCCTTATTTTGTCAATAAGTGTTATAGTTGTGGTGTTATTGTTGTTTAAAGTGTATAGGTTGGTAGTCAATAGCCCAATCAGGTAAGGCTTGTTCTCTAGGCGCACTAACCCAAAACGTATTTAATCAGCAATCCAACCAACACTGCACATTGCACCTGCACCTGTACTCAATAACAGCCACTGAGGCTGTCAATACATTGTTTGAGTTAGTACAAGATGTCCAGCATCTTGAGTAGCTTGTATGTCTTGACTATGGGCAGTGTCTAGGTTACAACTGAGAATGTACTCTTGGTAGAAGCCACTAACCCAAAAGGTATTTAATCAGCAATCTAACCAAAACACCTCTCAGAGATGTTTAGTAGCTAGCATCACAGTAGACAAGTCCATGATATATCCAAAACTACCCAGAGAAGGGTACAGAGCTTTTAGTAAACTAATTCTAGCATTGGGCAAGTAATTCTTGAGATTGATGTTAGAGAAAAAGCAGGCTAACCTGATTTGGATAAATCACCACTGCACTAAGCCATATCTGATTAAATCAGCAATATTTTTAGACAAGAAGAGCTGAGCTATTCTTCAACTCAACCAGCCAGACAGTCAACCACAAACCAGAGAAAATGCCTTGGGGCTGTAACGCCTTTGACCAAAAGCACTCCGATAATGTGTGGTCCCTGCGGGACTCAGCACACTGCTCTCCTTCATGTCGCTAACTACCTCTGTGTCATCTAGACATGGGTAGTTCCAATTCCCCTCCAAACTGT